TTGCGTGAATACGTACAATCTTTTGTAACGTAATATTCGCTTGCAACGTTATTGTTCTGTTATAAGAGTACAGAGATTATAACTGTACATTATACTTTCTTGGAGAAAATTATGGTAACATTATTAATGTTAAGTCAAGGGAATTCTTTCCAATATACGGAATATTATCCGGAATTCTATTGTATTGAATTCAATAACGTGACTTATTCCTGTGAAAACGTCATTAAAAACATGAGCAAATAAGCAATTGTAAGGGATTGCTCGTTAATATCGAATCAATCGTTTCTCTCTCTATTTCTGAGCATATGTGCGTTGCTCAGATCTCTGCCGTCGTTCAGTACACAGCACGTGGCCTTGGTCTCTGATCTTTGTGTGCACGTCTCGCACGCACATAAATTTTACGTACAGGCGCGGTTTCGCTTACAGTGTCAATGCTACTACTTTAGCTTAATATCGCTGCTCGTCATTTCACCGTTATTTATATTTAATTTCTACATATTTGCAGCTTTTCACGGTTATTTAAAATTGACGTTAAAATGTTATCGTATATAAGAAATTCAACATCTGCGTTCGACATTAATATTTGAACATATTAAATGAACATTAGTAACGTTCATCAATGGATGTTATTTTATCAATCATACTCGCACTGCCATGTTCCCTTAATTCTCAGATAACTCTATTGAGTCAAATCTCCATAAAGAGCGGTTTTCATCGCATAATTCAGAAACTTGCTTAGACATTAATGTAATGATAATTAGCCCGTCAATTATATCAAATTAACGTTTGTAGTCATGCTAACATCAAAAAAACATCAAAGCTCATCTCTAAAATCCCCAAAATCTTCACATCTTCAATATTCACTAGAGCTAGATAAATTGGTACACAGATATTTCGTAGTCACCTAAATTATCAATCAATCTCATTTTCGTCTTCTAGCATTTTATTATGAAAGAGCGAACATATAATCCACCTGTATTGAAAAATATTGTTAGCCTTTTAGTATTACATGGTTAGTTACTAATCGCATGTAATTACAGCTTCATATTCATTATTTTAAATAACTTCATCTTCCATTACTTTAGAACTCGTCAGTTCTTTAAACAAAGTTATAGTATCAGCATGAAGTTTATTTTTAAGAGCGGCGTTTTAGTTAGAATTTCTAACCTCACAGGATTATATTTTCATCTCACATATTTACGAGTGAAGGGAAGGGCCTTACTGCTTTCTTAGAACTTTAATGTTCTTCATCAGAGGTAATTTAAATATAACGATTGGAATCGTTGTTCTCAGTGAACGTGACGAGTGCTCACTGACATACACGCGATGGTCGTCAATCATCACAGTACACTCTCATCCCACCGATTTAACAAATTTACGCTGTGATTTTTATTGCTCAACATTTAATAAAATTCTACGTTATACGTAAGAATATGTTAGTTACGTTGGCAACGTATTTAGCCAAATTGCCAATATTGAGGCCAGCTGCATTATAAAGCATTCACGCATAATTAGTGCGGTTCTGAAGTTTTAAACCTGTGGAATACATTTATTAGCATTTCTAGGATAATTCTACGACGAATATCGTTTATGACATACTCAACTTCCGGGCAGTGTCTATGTTCATGCCGTCTGGAGTTGGTGTGTAGCCGTCCCTTGAATTCTTCATGGGTCCGTAGTATGGTCCGTTTTATAGGCACCATGATGATAGCGCTGATATCCTCCGCGACTGCGGGTTTTGAATCTTCGACCCCCGAACACGATCTCGTCGGTATCAGCCGCGAGCGTAGTCCCATCTGGTGGTTTAGGCGACAATCGTATCGATGTCCGTCTCTTCTTTACGTTTCATATTGCGCATTTCACGAGTAATTTGTCGACTATTTCGTTTTACGGTCCCTCATTGTTCGGTGACCGGAGCTTTAATTTTTCTTCGCTCTTTCTTTTTGCTGCTGTGACGATAGTCGTCTTCAGAGATGTATGCAGAATATTTATATACACATCGCTTCAGTTATGAAGACGTAATTGTGAAGACCTCCGTTGCTAAAATATAGCCATCATTATTATCCATCAAGATATCTACCCAGTTAAAATTTGGAGCCGAGACCGGCGCCGGGTTTAGCCGGGCTGGTCGCGCTTTAGCAGGATGGAGCCGTGAAACTATAACCGAGTGTGGGCCACGACGCGGAGGATCTGCGTTCGATTCTCGGAGCTGCCGTCGACGTTTTCAGATAGTTCATAGCGGTGAGTAGTTTGATGTGTATATATCCTCGATAATTAAATGTGATAGTTTCTAAATACCGTTGTTAATGTCAATACGATATGAATGTCAAAAACCAATGCCAATACAGTGATCTCAGAGAGAGAAGGAAAAAATTTTTAAATCGTTGACAAACGGTAACGCGTAACTGCGCATACACTGCCAGAGCCGCCCCAGAGCAGGCGTTGGGCTGGTTTGAGCAGGCGGTGCTCAGTAAGGGCTGCGTACGTGACGGCAGGACAGAGCACACCTGGGCAGGTACTCAGAAGCTAATTAGCGCTGATACGCGGCTGGCGATATCGTCTCTAAAGCGGACATTTCTGCTCTATCGCGGCTCTGTCGCGTCCCTACGTCGGCTCTGCAGCCGGCGACGGCCTGCTCTATTCCCTGCCCTAAATTTTAACTGGGTAAGCAGATTCTACTTCGTCATAACATATGTAATCGATTGTGATGATGTACCCGCATTTTACACAGGGGTGCATCACTAGCTGTTTACCACGTAGATTTATCGACGACGCTGTAGTAAACTACACTTGTGGAGTTGGCGCTTGTGCCATTTTGTTCGAAGTTTTCACTGATTTCCTTTTCATTGGAAAATCACTGCGATATTGCTCTGGAGCTTTTCTTCGTTGAACTGTTCGTCGAAACCCATTTGTTTCGCTATCAAAGTTCTCTACACTCTCTGTATTATTCACTTTAACTTTATTCAAAGTCACTTTCCACTGCCACTTTATAACACGGTCGGGCACCAATTGTCAAGGTATTGGCCTGACGTGCCCAATGATTTATAATGAGTTATATTTAATTATATCAATATTCTATCGTTGGATAATCACAGGAACATCTTCTTACGGTCCAAGGGTTCTTAGTTTGTCCGAATAGAGGCAGGATCATTGAGAGGCGTGTATTCTAAAGTACAATATATTAGGAACTAGATAGGAATACAGGATGGAGCTGGGTGGTAAGTTACACAAGGTAGTTTGGTATTGGTGGTTACTAACGACGATTAGGAGAACGCCGGAGTCAGGCGACGTCCGGTGGACGCTACAAAAATGGTTAGGACTACCATTTTTATGACTACCGCCTAAGACTGGCGGTTGGTTTGATGAGCTTATATACGCGGAGACCCGCGAATATTGACATCACAGAAGGTTACGTAAGAGAGACTAATGACATTATAGGAATACAACCTGACAGCAATCCCAAATAAAGTGTTAAAATATTTTCAGATCCTAATTGAAAAACACACCACATCACGAGTCGGTAATGAATGATATTATCATTCAACGGTAATGATTTCATCATCATTATCATCGGTAATGCGTGCGTAACTGCACTACATTCCATGGTAATCCCTTCCCCCTCTCCTCTCATTCAATAAAATCTTATTAAATCTAAACAATCGCTCAGGGATGAGCTCATATCCCAGTTAAAATTTAGGGCAGGGAATAGAGCAGGCCGTCGCCGGCTGCAGAGCCGACGTAGAGACGCGACAGAGCAGCGATAGAGCAGAAATGTCCGCTTTAGAGACGATATCGCCAGCCGCGTATCAGCGCTAATTAGCTTCTGAGTACCTGCCCAGGTGTGCTCTGTCCTGCCGTCACGCAGCCCTTACTGAGCACCGCCTGCTCAAACCTGCCCAACGCCTGCTCTGGGGCGGCTCTGGCAGAGTACGC